ATAGACCACATGGTTTACCATCTGTTTGTATGTTGAGCTACGTGGACTTCTTTAACATGTGTTTTTATCCAAACTGTGGAAGAAAAGTTCCCATACAAGTTATTCTTAGCTTATGATTCTCTCTGTGCTATACATAACTATACATATATAACACTATTACTACTTCTGTGGAGCTTCTGCGATTAGTTTGGTGTGTCTGTCTGTTTGTCTGTTAGTATGATTACTTAAAAAATGTGGTCAGATTTCTTTTCAGGCAGATTTGCAAAAAGAAAAAACAACTTCTGTAGTAAATTATATATACAGTAGATCTGTGAATATTTGGAAAAAGCTTTTACCAGTGCGAGAGACAACCCAATATCCTAATATACCAGTCAAATAGACTTCTGCCGCAAGTGAGTGAACTTTTCAGGCTTGAAGAGGTTTGCTGTTTTCAGCTACTCTTAGTTTTGATAGGGTCAGTTGAACTTAAGATCTGGGCAAATTCCCAGGCCATAACTAAGACGCTCTATGCCCAGCTGTACTATCAGTAAACGAGAGATAAAAACAATCAAAATGTAAAAATGATAAGCTTTAACACGCCAAAGCTCCACCTTGTAACGTAAATATTGAAGCGTCAGATGTGAGTATATTTAGACAGCATGGGAAATGCTCACCTGTAGTCCACCATTCCTGTCCTGTCCCGGTCAAGTCTCTGAATCAGCTCCTCAATCTGGTATCGGTCCAAGGGAATGCTTGATTGCTTACAGTTTCACACAAAAGAGGAAAAGGGAATCAGTTTCATAGTTGCTCTCTTTATCACAGTAAACTCTCAGTGAAACGCACTGACTCTACACGGCTCCATATACAGTATCACAGTTTGTTTGGAAAACCTGAACTGCTTTCCTGAAGTCAGTAACAGACACTCTCATGATGCCATCTTTATCGATGTTTCGAAAGAAATCCCACAGCCGCAGTTTCCGTTGGTCCAGATAATCCTTCAGAAGCATTGGTAGAAGTGATTTTGACAATAATTAAATGCAGTCCAACAAAATAAGTAAACATCAGAACAGCAAATATACTCTGAATAAAAAAAGAAATAATAAAAATAAAGATATATCGTGTGTATTTTCACAATAAAATTCATGCAGTATGTGTCAGATGCTCATTCGACCAACTGAGACAGACCTGAATGACTTTCATTGGATCAACACGTTTTGGTGGCTTCTTAGCCATGAAGCCTCCTACGCCTCCATACTGTACACCCAGACCAGGATGCTCCTGACACGTCACCTCCAATAGATGCACAAAGTGCTCATTTACCAGCACATTCTGTTCAGATAAAAGACAACATGAAATACACACACACATTTTTCTTCCTATGTCAGAAAAAAGGAAAAAATTACAACTTTGACTTAATATGAACACAAAATTGAACTGAAATCAGAGCAAAAATGACTTGCTTAAAGAGAAAGTTCACCTTATAATTACATATGTTTAAATCTGGCCTGTAGTGCAGTTTCTCTGTATAGACTTTTTAGATGAGAGTTGCTCAGTTTCAGTGGCACTGAATATTTCCAGAAATGACCTGGTTGTGAGCAGTTTCATTACTATTTTTTCTCCATAAAACAACACCTGCTGACTGCATAACTGTACAGAAGGAAGCGTGCATTTACCCATGACGAGAACCTGGTGATTGTGACAGCTTGGCAGGATGTAAACGCTGATAATGCTTTCTGCTATGATGTAATATCAACCAGCCGCATGTCTACTTTAGATTATGTCGTTTGGTCGAAAGAAAAAAGGACGTCGTGCAAGAATTGCTCTGAATTGCTCAAGAATTGCTCGGCTCTAATTGGGTCTTGAGCTGCGGAAAGAAACATAACTGTGGCTTTTTCAGATGTATTATTTGAGTGCTTTGAGCATCACAAGTGAATTTCTTTTAAATGTAGACACATCTCTACAACCAATAACTCAAGAACTGGGACATTTGCACCAGAACAATTCACATGGATAAATCCGACTACAGGCCAGCAGAACAATATGTAAATTTGATTTGTGGATGCACTGTCCCTACAGCCTGTGGTAATCTGTCATGACATGGAGTAGAGCAGGATGCACTGCCACTCACGCATATGTTGATCTCCTCCAAGGCAGTTTTAGGTGAGTTCTTCACCACGTTGACTAGAGCCAGTGCGCCCTCTACTGTCAAAGAGTTATAAGCCAACTAAAGAAATAGAAGACATTATCCGATATTTCACTTGAAGCCATGACTGTGATATACGTTACCCTAATGCAATTTCGTCCACCCACCGTCAGGACTCTGAGTGTGTCATTGAATTCAAGACCCCTGCACAGCATGCTGACGCCTTCATTGGTCAGGCGGTTATTGTTGAGGTTGAGATGCACCAGAGTGGTGTTGAATTTGAGGGCTTCTCCCATTGCCAGAGCACCTTCGTTCCCAAAACCGTTCCACGATAAGTCAAGGTGCTTTAACATCATATTCACCTAAATGGGAAGACTGTGATGAAATGCTGCACACAGAGTAACTAACAAATTTTGTTAATCAGCCCTACTTTTAACCCAGCACAAAAAGCCACAGCCCCTTTCATTCTTAGATGATTCCAGCTGAGGTCCAGCACCTCCAGGCCCTCATTGTTTGCTGTAGAAATAAGAGAGCCAAGTCAGTGAAAGAATACATCTATAATGCTATTAAGAACTAGTCTTAGACCCATTAAGACCTTTTACCATACCCAGCAGCTGTCCCAAATGCTCCCCTCCTTTTCCACAAAACTCATTATGGCTCAGATCCAGTACCTTTATCCTGGAATTGGTCTGAATGTAACAATATAGCAATGTGACAGGTGCAAGTAGCAAAAGAACAATTTATGAATATAGAAATGACTAAAATGGGTTGTTATGTGTGGAAAAAGCAGGACATAACTGATAACTTACTGACAGAGCATCTGCAAAATATTTAGCATCATCATCAGTAAATCCGTTCCCTGCAGGGAAGAAAATGCTTTCAAAACAATCATGAAAAAAAAAAAGATCACAATAATTATCGCTGTTAAATAGACAAACCAATCAGAAACTAACCTCGACTAACCTGTCAGGGAAAAGGCAATCCCGACAAAACAAATGTAAGCTGACTGTTTGTGATGCCAGTCATCTGTCACGTAACATCTGACAAGTTAAATGCATTGTCACGTGCATATTACCTGAAAGCTTCACAGATTTTAACGAAATGCTGTCCAGCAACATTTTAGCCACATACTCAGCCCCAGCAGATTTCAGATGGTTGTGGGATATATCCTGAAAAAAATGTATTATTAAAACCAAACTTGATGTAGAGCTCTCAGATTTAGACCTGAAATACACTTGTGCCCTCCAGTGGTCAACCTGCAGTCTTACATACCAGGTGCTGAATGGTGAAATTAGCCCTCAAGGTCTCCATGAGGTACTTGGCTCCCTCAGCTTGAATTGAATTGTCTGCCAGTGCCAGGGCGCTTATTTGCGTATCAGTCTAAATAAAACCTGATCATCAGTTTTCTATTTAAAAGTGCCTCATTGATTAACAGCTCTTAGATTTTAAACCTACCACTAAAGCAATAGCGAGTGCCTTGCATCCCAAAGGTCCGAGCCCATGGTGGGAGAGTGTCACAGCTGGAGATTCAAGGTTTCGAATAAAGTAAGAGACCGGCACCACACCTACCAGCTTGCAGGCCTGCATGTACACCTCAGCAGTGTCCATCTCCTTGTTGATCTTATTTCCTGCATATTATAAAAGTCAGAAATTAATATAACTAATGTATAGATTTATAGTAACAACTACTAAATTACTTAATATTTAAACAAGAACCTCAAGGATTATTCCATGATTGAATTTAATATGCTCACCATCTGATTCCAAGTCTTTGTCAAACTCATCGCCAAAGCTGTCGAGATCAGTTGGGGACGGACAGTTGTCATCGTCTTTTAAGCAGAGGGACTCAAATGACGGTATCGACATTACGGCCTGTCTTTAAAACTTGTCCTTTTTGAAACGCTTCCCACTCACAAACATCAGGCTGTGATGTGCCTGGTAAGAACAGGGCCTGTGAAATGAAAGGGGCCTGTACTATGCCCCGGGTAATTCTACCCCTCAGGTTGTGTGTCTTGTGTCGTTAACAATTTATCCATCACTCGGGTTACAATCCTAAGCAAAAACTACAGTTATAGTGTGCTGTAATTTAATTCATCCAATGTAACTTATTGTGACAATCTCCCACATTTACAAAATTCAACACATGACTGTCACAAGCAAAGTATGATACGTGTGCAGAAGAAGTTTCATAAAAATGTAATTTGATCTTCTTAATTGAAATTGTGACAATCCATCAGTTTGATGGAAGAAAGTGTATGTTTATGAGCAAATGCTAATGCTAACAGATAGAGCTACCAGTTGCTGCACCGTTGAAGTGTTAATATATAAAGAATTTACTGGGTCAATACTGGATCAATACTGGAGTTATTTAGCAAAAAGAAAATTGACTGCATTTCCACTGTAATGATTACTAACTGGTGTTTTATGTAAGCTTTTCTCCTTCTAGAAAATATGAAGCATTTACAGCCATTATAATGCTGAAAACATCATGAAATAAATGCACTTATTCAAGAATTCACCAGTGATAGAGAAACAAGGATTAATTCATTCATTATGTCAGAGATTTATGGATTTCCACACAAGAATTGGCCAATTTCTGAATGACTGTGGGCAAGTGCAGCGCTGAGGTCTAAAGATGCCAGCAGATATGAGACAGCAAGCTGAGAAGGAAATTTAGTTAATCGTTTAAATTTACTAGTTTAAGGAGGAAAATCCATCTTTGAAACAGGTGTCAGTTCAAATACACATGTAGTGTAGGTAGTCTCTAAACAGCTTAGAAATTATGTTTTTTTAGATTACTGTAAACACGTAGTAAAGGCTCATAATCAAGGGGGGGGGGGGGGGGGCACGAAGTTTTAGAAACTTGCTAGGAGCAAGTGAAAGCTTTACTAATGTTTGAAGCTGTAACTTCTACATCCTGAATTTGGCACCAAATGCACCATTAAATAACAACAGTAACCTAGCATTGTGTTTCAGCCCACGCCAGGCTGCAGAGTGCAGCTGTCTTCATTATGCTAAAAATGAATCTTTATCTTTGATCAGGAACTTGTTACTTTGTTAAATACATGTGTTTAAAAAAAAACATGACAGTAGCTCTGTTTAACAGTACAAACAATGAAACCTTTATTGTTTAATAAAATGTAAACAAAAAACCCCTAAATTAATTAAAATGTTATTGAGCAGCATGGAATGAATACGGTGAAGAAAAGTCCAAATGTATTATTTTTGAGGGCGTCGAATCTCAGGAGGCTATTTTTTTTCCATATACAAATATATGCGTTTTAAGGAGTTTGTCACGGCTGGAATAGCTGTTTGCAGAAGGAGGACCCAAGTTCCAGACAACAGCGGTGATGCGAGTAAGGTTTCTTGATGACGGGTGACACAAAGCGGTGATGAGAATTGCAAAGTAAACTGAACTGGGAAAGCCAGTAAGCTGACCTGAAAACATAAGGGAAGACATGCGGCAGATGATCCTAATCACAAGATGACGGGGAAACACAAGCTAAACACAGTTTAGGATCTACACGGATCTACAAAGTAAAACAGGAAGTTCCCAGACAGAATACAAAATCAGAATAAAACTAGAACATGAGAAAAATAATCAAAACAAAGCCACTGCGTGTGCAGACTCAGGACCATGACAGAGTTACTTAAATACAATGAAACAATAATAAAATTGTTAATTTAAAAATTAAATACCGTATAAAAGCTTCTAATCTACTGGTTGTGAAGCAGAGGTTTCTCTATTGGGTTTTGGAGGTGAACATAGGCCTCAAAACACACACCAAAGGATAAAGGGAGACTGACACAGTATACAGACGTAGCTGGCAATGGAACAACAGGTGGGAAGACAGCTGAAACTAATCACAGATTAAAGAGACAGGGGAACCAAAACTGAACAAAACACACAGGGGAAAAGGGAATATTAAAATAAAACAAGAAGCTATGAGCACTGAGACCAAGACTAAGAGACACAAGCTTGACATAGAGACAGAAGCCAAAAACAGAAACAAGATTGAGGGAACAGAATGGGGATATCAAAAGTGGATAAACTACCTCTCATTAACATGTATCTAACTGTATCTAATTGAGTTATTTCCACCAATTTTAAATGACAACTCAACTTTTTAGTTTTGTATTTCAACAAAAATTGAGCTGAACTATTCCAAGACCGAAAGTAAACTCTCCCTAACAAGTCCACTTTGTTGCGTGCTCACAGGTGTTTTCTTATCAGTGGCTCGTGGTTGCTTAAAGCCTATGTCTGTACTTGGCCAAAGAGGCAGAGCATCATTCAATCCTGCCAGCTGCCTGTCTTGGTAGCATTTCAAGGATGACAGACTCCACTTTCTCTGCAGCAAGGCAGTTCATAACTTTTTAACAGTACAATAACGCCTCCTGTATTTCAGAAGGTAATATTGTTGTCAATTGTGTTACCTGCTGTAAGTTTATTATGTTAAATCCCAACTTATCAGTCAACAAAACTTTTTCCAAAGATATTAGCACAGACCAAAACTATTGTGTTGATAATATAATGATAACAGTCAGTTTTGCCACATTAGTGTCTGGATCATCCCAGTTTCTCTTTTTAATCTGATTAGAGCAAGTTTACAAGTTCCTGTAGAAGCAGTGGCAAATCCAGCTGTACAAAGTGCTTTATCAGTTTGACACATGTACTAATTTTCATTTCTTACAATAAGAATTCTCCATTAAGTTCTTAGAAGACAACTATTTCACTTTTCATCTATTTAGCTTCTTTTGATCAACACAATAGTTTTCAGCTCTGCTTATATAATCACTGAAAAGGGATAAATTAGCCTTTTTTTAATGCTTGTGTTTTCTTTTTTTCAAACTCATACTTTTTTAAACTTCCTGCATCTGTACATGTCCTTTCCTCAGCCAGCTGGTTTCTTGTTTCTGCCCTGAGTTGTATTCGCAGAAATCACAAAGGTAAGAGAAATCAAGGAAATATTTTCATCCTTCAAATGCTGTTACAGACTGAAGTCTTCTTGCACCAACTTAAATGCACTTGAACTCTGTTACATTTTAGCTTTTTTAAAATTATGTAGTGCAAGAAGAAAGTGCATTTGAAAAATCTGATTACAGCAAAAGACTGACATGTCACCTGTTATTTGGAATTCAGCTAAAGAAAAAAATTGTTTAGATAATTATACAGACAGATAATTAAGGGCCTATGATGGACTTAATCATCTCTGAGTTGTAATATTGACAAGGTGGAGGTACTTAATAATGCTCTTGGTGATCATTTTTCTTTGACATAACTACCTCTTTGTGCAGACCAGTGAATTATATTTTCAGGTATTAAAGAAATTCTGTATCATACTATAAATATGTGTTAATATGAAAAAATCCTAAATGTTTCAGGAGCTACTGAAATTCTGTCCTGTAATACATCTAACTTATTTACATTACTAAAGAGATGGCAAACATTTCCTTAAGAGATGTCTAAAAACAAAGACATACAGAATATTTTTTTAATCCTGAGGGAAACTATCTTGTTACAGACGCTCACTAAAAATATAAACATGAAAGACAGAAAATGTAAACTCTATCAAAAATAAGTAAAACTACGGCACTTAAACTGCCATGTTAAATTAAAATGTACAATACTTTGGTTTGAAGGATTTGTCCAATAGTGGCCGTAACTTTGACACATCCTCCTTTCTGAAACCTCTGTCAGAGAGTCAAGCTCCCCACACCTCAGCATAGAGCATAGGTGTCAAACTCTGGCCTGAGCTGGCCTACTGGTATTATACAGCTAATATATATATTGTTTAGTATTAAGCTTTGCTTGTTCCATATTCAGTTTTTCAGCAAAACTTGTTTCAGTCCATAAGAAAAGATTCATTCTTATATCTAGAGGAAGATTTTTTTTTCAATAAATATTAATGTTAGCCCGCGACTTTGTTCCAGTTTTGAATTTTGGCCCACTGTGCATTTGAGTTTGACACCCCTGGCATAGAGGATGGCACTGGCCACCACAGACTGATAAAACAGCCTTAGTACAGATGTTAAAGGACCTCAGTCATCTCAGAAAATAGAGACAGGTTTTTGGATTTCTTATAGGGATGGATGGAAATACTGGTCACTGGCGTTCCAGCTCCTTAACAGTTCCCTTCTTTGTGACATTAAGCTACAGATGATTTTATTTGCACCGCATAACAAAGTTGTCACTCTTTCACTCTTTCCCAGTGTTGGGCAAGTTACTTTGTTAAGTTGATCAGGCTTTTTCTTCATCCCCTGAGACCAGCTGCACTGAATCATCACCAGCTTTTGTCCTCATCTTTTTTCGCTCAGTGAGGTCTTTCCTTTCCTTGGCCATTCCTCTGCCAGCTGCCTTTGCACTGGAAAACCAAAGTGTGTGATCACAGGTGAAGTAAGGGATATTTTTTCCAGTGCAGAGTTTAGAGTTCTCCATTTGGTGATAGCTGTTGAACAACATTTCTAAGGATGTTGAAAAAGACAAATATTTCTGTTTACTATTAGGCAAAATCATCACATAAATCACATTTTCAACAAAAGTTAGAGCGAAGGCACAGTTACAGGGAAAATGTGTCTGTCTGTGACTAAACATTTCTATGTGCTACAACATGGACATAATGATTAAATGTGCTGAGGTGAGTAATTTGCTGTCAGCCTGCTTATTGATTCATTGTACTGATGCTACAATGATTTGTACAAATCTTGGAAATTTACAATAACATTTCTAAATAAAACTGATGATGTACAATGTTGTCAAACCACCTGATTTATAATACTGTTACTTAAGAATAAGAAAAGTAACAGTCTTCAACACTTGCAGATAACAAACTCACAGATTCTCACCTCACACTCGATGATACCGAACGCATCAGCAAAGAGCTCTTTAACCTCCAGGACACTTACAAGACTGCAGTGGAAACCATGAAGGATGCCAGGAAGCAGGTGGACAGTGAGATGAGCCGTCAGACACAAACCAACTGGGAGCTTGAACACCAGACAAAACGAAGCAATGACTATAAAAGTCAGATGGAAATCCATGAGAACACGCTTATCAATGCTTAGTAAGGCCGGTTTCATTG